TTCTGTATTTTTTTAAACTTTTTTTTTCTTGCTTGAGCAAATAAGTATGTTACATTATTGTAAGTATCATTTAAAAATTGGCTAAGTAATAAGTAATTGTTAATATTTTAGTTGGTATGTTTTGTGTTTTTTGTTTATGTTGTCCAGCCTTTGGTTTTGAAAGTAGAGTGGAATCATGACACATTTTACTTTTATTTTAGACACTACAAAATGAACTACAGTCATTCCAAGAACAACTAAAAGTAATGAATGATGCATGCGAGATGATCGTTGCGGAGGCAGATGTCCGTGATAAAAACCTGATCAAGCAAGCCTTGAGCGATCTCAATGAAAGGCTGACAACGCTGGAGAAAGAAGCACAGCAGAAGGAACAGGACCTTGTTGAAAAGAATAAACAGTTCCAGGAATACCAGGTACGTAGTAGAAAAGTGGTGAAAAGATGATGAAGACAATGATAATGATAAAAGTGTTGACTACTGTGATGGTGATGATGATGATGTTATTTTGTGATGATGTTTTATGATGTGGTTGTTTGATACGATGTCGTTTGTGATGATGATGATTTTGTTGATGATGACTTTGATAATGACGATGGTGAGGATGATAATGTTAAATGATATTGATCCTCAGCGAACAATGTATTATGCACCAATAAGAGCTACTAATAATTATAATAATAATAGGTTTTAGAAGTTGTAAAGGATTATTTTATTGATTTGATTATTGTATAGTAAACCTGCTAGGCAGTGATTCATATTTTGCCACTCCAGAACAACATCTGTCTTGACATCAGGCTTCAAGTACCTTGTGAATATGGACATATCACAACAGTTAAAACCATATTGTGCAATATCTACTATTTGCAGCTAAAATCATAGAACATAATATCTGTGTCAAGCTAAATATACTTGAACATTAAAATTTAATATTTGAAAATACTTTTATTTTTATACACTCAAATGATATTGTAAATTTTAACCATTTGTTGTAAAACTGTGTTGCATTTTGGAAATAAACCTGGAATTGAATTACTCTTAGATTTATTAATAATTACAGATTATTTGGTTGAGTATTTTTAATTTGGTATTTTTACAGGTTTAATAATGTATTTTCAACATATTTCAATGTATAAAAACTATTTTGATATTTCCAGTAGGATAGAAAGCATATAATACAATGTGTGAACACTCTATGTATTGAATAATAAACTTGAGATATATCAATTTCAGCTCAACAGAAACTGTGAAGTAAAGTACTTTTGAGATGGATTAATTAATGAGTATAGCCTTCAAGTACAATATCTAGGTCAAGAATAGGGGAAAAAAAGAATAGGAAATACTTGCCTTCAAATTGCTACTGATAAACAAGAATATAATGGGCTTAGTTCCACCAAAATTGAAAACTTGATTTCAATTACTCTTGAACTAAATTTTATACCACCACAGTTGAGAATGATAACTGCAGAACTAAACTATATTTAATTTTAACTACAATTTAAATAAATCTATAAACAGTCATTTTATCTTAAAGAAAAGCATTGGCAGCAAATGTAATCATCTACGTAAACATACATATTCACATATTAAGTAACAGATAAATACAATTATAATTATATAAAACACTAAAAAGTAATAAAATATTAATAAATAGCTACACAAACACATTAGTATGCAAGAAATGATTGAGTTTCAAATTTGTAAATAATAACAGAAAAAAAGGGTTTCTTACTTGTTTTTCTTGTTTGGAAATTTTAATTGCAGGAAACCAATGATTAACACACTAACACTACCTCTCTTGGTGTGGATATTGTTTGAAAATTCATTAATTTATAAAAAAAAAAAAAGGATAAACATAGAACATTTAGTCTATTTTATGAATATGATTGATTTGTGTAATCTATAATTTCTTAACCAGATTAGCACTAATTAAAGATAAACTATACACTTAAAAGTAATGGACAACTCACCCCCATAAAATTTAGGATTTGTCACATATTCTCTTTGCCAAAAGGATAGACAATTCATTTCACACCAAAAGATGATCCATCCTGGCTCCTAATGTCATTATGTTGTATCATTAATATCTTTCATGTATCTAAAGCTTATAGTATTCAAATGTCCTGATTTGCGAGTAAAGGACAAACATCCTTCTTTCGCTAAGTAATTACGTTCTTGTTTCTTACCGCGCCTTGTTTTTGATGGCAATTATTAGGCGGATGAATTGTCATTGAAGAGATTTTCGTTGCAATAACATAAATTGTATCATTAAGAAATCAACTTGTGGCATTGACATGCTTGAGTGATTTCAAGGTTGTTCAGTGAAAATACTTCTCTTTTCTTTTAATGCTCTGACAGGCTTACTAGCTTATTTCAAAAACAGCAGTTAGAATAAATCTAGTGTTGGATTATCAAATTCCTGTATACTACCAGAATTTACATTTAAGGAAATGCCACTTTTAAAAGATGATTTCCACTTTATTTTTATTTCAGGATGAGGTCCAAAATTTTCAGACGTGGTTAAATGAGACAAGGGAGATGCTAGAGGACGAGTCAGGGGACGACCAACCAGATGGTACCCTTGGTGATGTAGAACAAAGACTGATACAGAATCAGGTAAGCATTGCAATTAAATTTGCATATTGACAGCAGGAAAACGGTTTTCACCAATATCTATAACTCAGTTAACTTAGAAAATTCTTTTACCCAGTTAAGTAAACCTACCTTTCTCAACCTTGAGGTGGGGGAGGTTGGGGGGGGGGTTGAACCCTTGCAGTGCATTTTGCTTGTGTCCTTGGACAAAGCACTTTACCTATGTTTGTATCTCTTCACCCAGGAGTATAAATGGGTACCTGGTAGGATGATGTGGCATTAAATATATTAGTCTGTATTGGCATTAAAATTGCAAGCACGATAAGGAATACTCCCCAGGGAATGGAGGAGGTTACATTTTGTGTTGGTTTGATTATGGATCTAATGACCAGGGGTAATAATAACAACATCACTATTGCCTTGGCAAAATCCCTTGGCAAAAGACTCGCTATAAATCCCTATACTTATTGTTCAACACTTGCTGATATATGTGGCAAAGACAAGCCAAACCAGTCACTCATCGGAAAAATCAATTTTTAGTTATTAATACAGGGTTTAACAGTAAAAAACAGCATAGCATGATGTATGGATATATAAAGGTTAGTTTAGTGCAATAAAATAGATTTCCAAAATTTTGAAATTCCAGCATGTTTTGGCCATTATCTCCAAAACAGGATTTGCGACGAGTGACTGGTTTGGCTTGTCTTTGCCACATATTATTACTATAGATTACCATAAAAATAATTAATATTATTTTTTAAAAATATTAATATTATTGTTATTTTATGATTTTTATTTATTTGCTGATAATACAGTCAGTTTTGTAATCCTTAATTTTGTACATTTTAATATAATGACATAATGTATTAATGTTTCTACAGCAACGAAGGCAACAGTTTCAGGTTAGATGTTACCCACTTTAACGTTCTTTAACTCAATACATTTACATGCACCATATCCTTTTAAATCAAATTGCAAAAAATCCATACATCCAACAAATATAATATATCATAATCTGTAGCAATTGGACCACTGAGGTTGCCATGGCAACACACTCTGCATTCATTATTATCATTTGCTTAACTTAAGCCTAGGATGTGTACTCATCTTTCACCATGTTTTATAAACATCAGCTATAATGTTCTGGAGGCCTTTCTTTTCCACATGCTAATCAATCACTCATACTGTACATATTAATTATTATTATTATTATTATTATTATAATGATACTAGTAAAAAGAGTGGAGGTTTTAAATGATTTTTATGGTTAAATAGGATAGGACCTTAACCTACGAGGTTAGTTGAAAGTGTAAGACCATATCATATCAGCTTGGATACAAAATACATCATGTGTAAAATTACAACAAATGGCGGCTTTCTAAACCGGTTACATTTTACTTCTCCTATCAGAGGCCAACAAACTGTGCTAAAAAAAAAGAGTGATAAGAAAGAGAATAAAATATACAACAAATTTTGTTGTATATTTTATTACAAAAGTAAAATGCAGGTCGATTTAGTTTCCTACTTCAAATAGTACAACAAATTAGGGGTTTCTGAACTGGTTTCCTTTCAGATATAAAATTCTAATGTTGTATTTCTAGATCCCTACTTTTTCTCAATTAAAATGCTGTCTAATATAGTGTAAAAAAAAATAAATAAAAAAATAAAAAATAAAATAAAAAAATAATAAATAATAATAATATATGCATCTTTATCATTTATTATTAATTTCATTCATCATATCAGTCATTCAAATTAATAAATTTTGTATCAAGTCTTCAAGCCTTTATTGCATATGTTAGAATTTATGGAAAAAAATGTAGGTAATATTATCAAAGAAAATAATTTATTGAAAACTGAAGTATGATAATATGTTATCAGAAATCCCACATCTTGACATTAGTCCCATATTGACAGCAGTTTCGTGTATTGATGACAGTCCAACGTCTTTCCTTGAACAAATGATTGCAAACTGTGGTCGCTACATTTACACACAGCTTGCATATCTATAAAGGAACACCTTTGTTAAAAAATACCCTCCACCTCCAACTGGAAATGTTTAAAGCAGAAAGTATGTAGTTAAAAATGTTGTTATTTCTATTAAGTACTTGTTGCACTGATAAAAACCACCAAATTGAAATTTAAGGATGTTGACTTTTTTGAATAGTGATTGGAGGTTGAATGTTGGCTCATACATATGCTTTGATGACAAGTACCAGATGAAAAATATTAAGAACTTTTTTTTTTGTCAATTTCAGAAACTTGAAGAAGATCTTGTTGAATATGAAACTAATTTCCGTGATTTGATGGACAGAGGTCAACAGTTACAGATCACCAATCCTCAAGCCTCTGTTGCCATGGATATTGCCGGGCTAAAAACAAATTGGGAAGAACTCCAACGACAAACAAGTAACAGGAAAAACCAACTTCAACGCAAGAAAATGTTCCAGGTAATGTAATTGTCTATTGTACTTACAGGATAAGCATGCTATTAACTGACTAGAAATATACACCAAAACACAGTGTAGTCAAGTCTAGAATTATTGAAAAAAATACATTCAGGGCTCTTTTAAACACTGAACTAGCACAGTTCATTATAGAAACTCAAAAAATCTCTGTAGTACCAATTTGCATAGCATGTGATCTGGAAAATGATTCTACAAATCTCTTTAATTTAGCTGAGAACCAAATGTTTATACAACAAGGTAAAATTACACATTATTGATGTAATTATTAAATCATATTTAAAGGGGTATTGAAAACACCTTTAATTATAAAGTTGATATATATTGCATTGCATTTATATTCATTGTGGAATATATATATATTGTAGAATACATGCAGATATATTATAGTTTTTCTTTAAAATCACTATATATTTGTGTTTTAAATTTCAGGAACAGTATCACAAAATCATTGAGGATTATAGTGAGTATCTAGCAACAGCAGAAGAGAAGTTACGCAAAGATGAAGTCATCGCTACTGACCTTGCTGACCTGAAAGATCAGCTAGAAAAACACAAGGTAATAAAAACTGCCCTTAATTATATGCTGTATCTTTAAAATTTATTTTTGCTTTCATGATAGGAATAATCCAATTTTTTTTTGTTATGGTAGGAATTTTTTGGTGATGCTGAGACGCATCATGTTCTGATTGAGTCAATCGCACGAAAAGCTGATCCATACACTCGCAGTCTCTTCGCATCTAAGCAAGCCTTTCTTGATAAATCCACCAATCAGCTTCAAGCATGTGGTACTGTTCGTGGACAAAACCTTGAGAAGATCGTCACGGAGTGGTCTCAATTTGAGAAGAACTTTGATGAGTTAAAGGGATGGCTCGGACATGTTGAGTTACAACTACCGAGAAGCGTCAGTCATGATAACATGGAGAACGTTCAGAAAGGCATACACAAGTACCAGGTAAGTATAATAATACAACAGAAGTTTGTTCCTATAAGGATATGGTTAAGGTTTCAATTAAAATGTCATCAACACTCTGTGAACCGAATACAAGATAAGTACTAAGTTTTGGCTGTGAACATTTAGCTGGTAGAATGCCTATTCGTTAACACAGCATTGATGTGATCCCTAACCTTGATGATGGGCAAGTTTGAGCTATAGCTAGCAAAATAGACACTGTAACATATTTAACTACACTGTTTTCTAATCAGAAAAGTAACTATTATTTATCATGACAATAAATTTCAAATTTATTATCAAATTATGGTTATGGTATGATTATAATATCAATAATATGTAATGAAGTTTTCTATATCTGATTTTTTTAAGGCTATGAAAAACATTTTAGGAGAAAGGCAAGCTGCTATGCAACAAGTTTTAGAACAAGGCCAGGCATTGCTCAACAACATCACCTGTGCTCCACTAGAGAAAAAGCTTGGTAACTTCAGTGACAGGTGGAATGCTCTTCAGAATAAGATTGACCAGGACTTGAAGAAGCTTAACACGCTACTAGAGGAATGGAGAGCATTTGAGCGCGAGAGTCAAGAGTTCTTACCATGGCTGGATCGATCATTGAACCAACTTAACGACTGGAGTGTGAAGGCTAACCAAGTGGAAGACCTGAATACATTAGCTGTCTTGGTTGATAGATTTACAGTGAGTTGGTTAACAACCTGTTAGTTATCATACCCCTATCAGGTTACTGTAATAACATAATGACTAATAGATTCACTGCAAATTGCCCAATATCCTGTTACTGTTATTGTTTCGATGTCTAGATTAGTTCCCTTCCCCCTTATTTGGAACCCACTCTTAAAAGTTGATAGATTCATAATGATTCAGCCAACATCCTGATATATTCAATTGATCATTCAATCACTAAATTAATTATCTTTCATCCACTATATTGTATTACGTACATCGTTTCAATCCAATCATTTCAATTTGAATCCAGTCTAGATCAGTTTCTGTTGTTTATTATATGCCTGAAATAATTTCGAAGCAAATTTGTAATATTATTCTTAAATCTTTACTTCAAACTAAATTTTATTATAATTTTCATGATTAAAATCAGTGTCAACTATCATCCATTACTGATACCGCCATGTATCAATACATGATTCATTTTGTATTCTTATACAATCTACCTGTTGTTTCAATCAATAGGAATTCCGTAAGGATGTAGAAAACCATGTCCCAATGAAAGTATCCGTTTGCTCCCATGGGACACAGCTTTTGCGAATCAAGGAGTTGAAACTTCTTAAGATTCGTGAAAAGTTGAGCAAAATTGAACAGCAGTGGACAAGCTTACAGAATACTGTGCCCATAGTACAGGACCAACTACATCACTTGCAGGTTGGTGATCATGTTTAATGTACAAGTCTCCCTCCAAAGACCACTTTTGGAATTGGGGTTTTCATGGTTTTTAAGAGCTTTGGTCTCCAATTAGAATAATAAGTGAAAGATATTTCTTAAAACTGAAAAGGCCAGGTGTTTAATTAGAGGTGGTGTTTAATTGGATGGGTCTTTCATTGGATGAGTGTTTCGTTAGAGGGAGACCTGTATTTGTTCATTTTTCTGTAAGTGTTTTGTCAAATATTCTCCAATGCTACATATATCTGATCTATCTCTTGACCTGGATAAACCATTACTGATTTGTGTATTTTGAGTGCAAGTGCTTCTCTTGCAACATGCATAATGCCCTTTTTTGGAAGAGATGAATTTATTATTCTCTAATGTAGATAGTATATTTTATGTTATTTTCAATAATACTTTGAATATCAAGTTTACAGTCTATTTCGTGAATACTTACCTGGATAACCGACTAATTGCCATTGTTCCCAAAACGGAACACCCCTTCGAAAAAAGTGGAACAGTCCAACCCAAGGCGCCACGTGCGAATCGTCTCCCTAACAAACGTCCTCATTCCCTTTTAGACATTGTTCGAAGTTGGATACACACTCGATCTCAGGGTTCGCTGCCGGCTGCGTCGGGGGTTGTTGCGGCGCCGGATGACTCGCCTCCACCGCTGGAGGATTCGTCGGCTTCGCGTTCGGCGGGTCCTTCCCCTCCACTGGATCCGGCGTTGGTTTCGTTGATTTCGGAGCAGGTGGGCCGGGTGGCTCGGGAGGTTTTCGCCGGAATGCGGGCCGCTTCGGCGGTCCCGGATCCTCCGGTTTCCGGTTTACAATTTGTGACTAAGGCACTGCTAAATTATATTTGTTTTTAATTTTAAATGAATCAAGTTTTAAGTTAAAAATAATAATGACGAGTTTAATCTGTATTTAATTGTAATTTTCTGTTACATATCATATTTGGTTTAGTGGTCCAGTAGAAATAAATACATCTTTGCCTAGACTTGAGTCTGAGATTGTTATACAATTATTTACTTGCTTTTTAAACCCAGGCTCCGGAGAAAAAAAAATTCATATGTTGTACAGCTGATTTTTCAGGTGTTTGACCAAAAAGTCAGTAACGGTTAATGCCTAACCAATCATTTTTCTATTTATTCAACCAGTTTTTCAATATTTGCATATCAAGAAAATACAACAGTACAACATATCCAAAAAAATAAAAAAATTCCTCCAGAGCTTGGCTTTAAGAGCACAATATTATTGTTGAAGTACTTCCATATTAATGCTTGTATATACGTGTATGTAGATGGAGATGTTGCCATCAAGGCAAGCTCTTAATGAGCTAATTTTGTGGATGGAAGCACTAGAGAAACAACTGAAGAAAGATGTTGGAAACATTTTCACAAAATCTGATGAGGTTGAAACACAATTTAAACGATACATGGTAAGTCTACTTAGACAGCTCAAAAATATGCTAAATGATTTTTAACTCACATTTTGAAGAAACTTTTGCTATTATCATCTTGGTGAAAACATTTACTTTTTAGAGACAAAAGATTCTTAATTGACCTGTTTAATTTCTTTAATTGTTTTCGCAGGGGTACAAGATTGTGTTGTCTGCTAAGCAGCTGACTGTTGACTTTGTTAACCAATCTGTGCTTCAGATTAGCCAAGACTTAGATCAGAAACGAGGTGATAAGACAGATTTTGCTGAAAAACTTGGAAGTATGAATAAACGGTGAGTTCAAAAGTGGATGTTAATCTCTGATTCGCTAATCTTCTTGTTCAAGGTGATACATAACTGATATTAAAATTTCATAATAAACATAGGATACACATAATCAATCATGAAACATGTGTTTATAATATAATGATTTACATTATTTATATCATTGTTATTGTTTGTTATTTTTTATTAGCATTGTCATTTTTTGTTTTTATTGTTATTGTTGTTAATGTTGTGCATTTTTTCTTAATGCTGTTATTATTGTTAATATTATTATTATTATTGATATTGTTGGTTATAGATCTCAGTATGTCATTTACATTATGAATGTAAATATTTTTTACAGATGGCAAATTTTGAATGCTAAGATCGCTGATGAAGTAAAGACTTTGGAAGATTTGTGCAGTGACTGGAAAGAGTACGAAGCAGCTGTGCTTGAGATGATCACTTGGCTCGATCAGAGTGATGCCAAGATCAGGAAGTATGACAACAGATGTGGCAATGAAATGTCTGTACAGCAAGCTGTCAGGGATTGTGAGGTAATATAGAGGGCAGCACATCAACCATTTATTACATGATAAATTCTGATGACCATTGTATCCATCTTTATATTCACTCACCCATATTCTTTATTATTTGAAAAACGATAGTTAAAAGAAATAATATGCAGAAAGATGGGTAGCACATGTCCCGATTAGAGAATAATTATATTGTATATAAAAAGCAGTGGTGGCGCTAGCAGGGGTAAAGAGGCAGGACCACTTCAAGGAACCTGGACTCTCCATTCTTTAAATTTGCCCTGTTAGGGACCTCTCTTCGGAGAATTGATGGCTCCACCACTGTGTAAAAAGAACTCCAATAAATGTTTCGACAAGTACTATGAACGATTTACCACTCACAAACTGAAAAATATGCACATGGAATTCCATGACCACCAATTGGGTTGTGCATTGAAGTGATATAACAACAGGACTAAATGTACATGTTCACATGCAAATTTGAAGCTTATGCAGACTTACAGTGTGATACTTTGCATTTGTTATTTGTTCATGCTTATGTTAAAATTATTTTTTTCGCCCTTTTTGATTTTGTATAGGTCATGTCTGCCTTACTTGAAAAGAAAGAGAAGGACATCGAGAAGGTCCGTGAAATGGGTTTGAAAGTAGCGGACGAAACTGCAGTCAACCAAACCATGATGACCATCCAACAGTCTAAGATCAGTTTGTTGAATCTGCTATCCAGACTCCAAGTGGTTCTGAGAGGAGTAAAAGAACAGTGGAATCTGTATAGTGAGTCATTACAGACCGTCACACAGTGTCTGGGGGAGGCAGAATATTCAGCTGGTAGAGTGAGAACTGTTGGTGGCACTCTTGGGTCTTTCAGATTACAAGTGTATAAACTCAAGGTATGTGGTCATCAAAAATTGCATGTTGATTCCATAATTAATGTTCCAACAGCCAATCATACCATCAATCAAGTCTCTATTCAGTGGCATAACACATAACCTTTGTGTGTTATGTAGTTTCAATATATTATTCCAACATATAATATCTGCTTATTGCAAATATATAACTGTTATAATAAAAAAAAGCATTGTCTATACATCATCATCATTATCCCGCTTGTCCCCTCATTGGAGGGTGTCGGGTCGTCTCATTATCGTCCTCCATACATAAATTCTATATTCTTACTAAGTTCATACTGATTTTAATGACTTATAATATTGAATTTATTTAAAACATTCTTGTTATAAACTTTTTATTTTTGCTTTTATACTCATTTTATATATCAGCATTTACTTTTTATATTTTCGTATGTATGCTTTGCAGGGTATTGAGTCAGTCAAGGTGATTAATTAATTATACTGTTTGTTGTGTTAGTTTCCTCTTATTGATCGTACCTATAGATCCATAGGATACGTTTAGTACTGTGCTTGTTTCTTTACTTTTTAAAACTATTTAATTATCTAATTTTTAGATTAAACTTTTGTTTTGAATTAACAATTTCTCATCTGAATAAGTTTGAAGTTGAACATTTTCTTTTCCCTTCAGTACATTCTTTTCCTCTTTTCGAAAAACATATTTCATCCTTTTGTATTGATTATGAGGTGACTTAAATCTTTACATAATACATTCAACTATTTCAATTCAATTCTTTATTCCACAAGTGTCACAATATAAACATACTTTTTACTTATCACTTTTTTTCAAAATATGTGGAAAAGGGTATCCCACCACAAGCATTGCTCTACATGTGGATGTGTATAAGAGACAGTATTGTATTGTGTACTTTTTTTCTCAAATAAAAAACCTAAGGAAAAAATTGGGAATTTCAAAAATTTTAATATGTGCATTATAATTACAACTATGCGGTCATGAATTTTTAAGCATATTAAGGTACCGGTATGTTTTTATTTATAATTGTTGAAAAAACTATTCACAATCATGAAAATTCTAATCAAATATTTTTTGGATGCAGATAACTGTATTCAATATCAAGTTATGTTAAAGTTTGAAGTTGTGATTACGGAATACACTTGAGCTAACAATCTAGTACACTAGTAACACCATGACCCAATATCAAACTTCATTTGCTTTGATAGCAATGTTGCGACTTTGCAATCCAACCTACTTATTCTTTTTAATTCATTGTGGTGTTTTACTTTTTCTGAAAACAGGAACTTCAAAAGGAATTTAAAAATAACAGAATTCACTTGAATCGACTTACAAAACAAGCGAATCAGTTGACACCAGCACTGGAGAAGACAGTTGCTGAAAGCATTGAGAGAACTGTTGATGACGTGTCTAGAAGGTAAAAAATAATTTAATTGTCTTATTTTATCATTATTTTATTTACTCATTTTTTTTGTGAATACATAATTTGAATGAAGTGAAGTATACCAAACATTAGTTTCTGAAGAACATACCTAACAAATAATGGAAATGTTCATCTCGGTGCGTTGTAATTAATAATTCCCTTGCTTTCATCTTGAATTCACTTTAGTAATAGAATATTATGGCTTTGTTTCAAAAGCTGTGTGAAATGCTTTTTTTTCTGTTCTAAGACTATCTTTATTCCATATCAGCTCTGTGTGTGGCTGCCCTTGGCCTAGCCTAAAGATCAATATACACATCTAGTAAACTAGCATTGGGCAGTCAATGTCCCGTGTGTTGATCGTTCTAGTAGGGTATGTAGTGAAAGCTGTGCCTATGTTGACCTGAGGCCAAGTTGTTTCAGCTTCTGTTTTCCCACATTTGCTATCTGCTTTGGCACCTAGCTGGCATGGTCACATCTGGTGTGCTGGTGGTGAAAGGCTCCGAGTTTGCTTTTATTCAAAAGGAACCTCCCTGCCATTAACGATGCATTGCAGATTTTCTACCAGCTGACTTGACTGTGTTGTTCATTTTACAATAATTGAAAGATTATATACTCTTGTCTTTCATCCATTCTATTTAATATAAAATTTATACTATTATATTTTTAGGTGGAAAACAATTGATGAGAAAATTAGAGACACCTTGAAACAGTTTGAGAGGTCACTTGTAATGTGGCAGCAGTTTGAGGAACGATACAGTGATGTTAAAGACTGGGTGGTTGAAAAAGAACGACATTGTAATAATCTATTAGACAATAATAATGAAACAGAAGATCAAACTGACTCAGGAAATGATTTAAAACAATGTGAAGTAAGTGAAGCGTTTTTATGATAACTATTGAAGTGGTGGTGATATGTGGTATAATTATAATAATTATCACTTATTATTATTATTACTTTATTATTGTATGTGATATTAATGCCTTGGTATGTGTATCCTCCAAAAGATTCCATGCAAGAGTTTAGACTGAAGGTTTGATATATGAATATGAATAATTAAATTGATGCTGTTGGTATATACAGCAATAAATGTGCTTTTATTTGAAGGAAGCTTAAACATTTCTTGAAACAAGAAGCATATTAACCTCATATTAATATCCAGAATATTCGTATGTAACTTAGTTGCCTGGCTTATCCATTTAAACAAGTCAGTACACTTTTACTAATGCATCTTTTTAAGGAAGCACCATGTGAGGAATGGAATCTTCCAGTCATGAGTCATTCTTGTGAATCTCCAGACTTTGTATTTCAAGTCAAATTTTATTTCATTGTTAATATCAATGATGATCCGTCCATTATTATATGTTGCAATTTTTTCCTTTATCATATTTTGCAATTAGTCAATATTATTAACTTGTTAATTGTTTCAAACGTTTATTTGTATTTCCTTTCGTTTACAGATTTTACTAACAGAGCTCCAAAATTACCAAGATTTGAATGAACTTAAAACCTTTATACTGAACCTTACCAAAGAAATGGACACGCCAACCGCAACCAATGTCATTGGCCGGCGCAGGATGTTAGAACAGGTAAGGAGAATCATCATCCTCTCACCTGTATTGAAACTATGATGATTTTTATTCATGAAGAAAAGTTAACAAAAAATAAGAACGTACTTGATATAAATAATCAATTCTAATTGACCAGTGGCTTAGTGGTTAAACATGCTCGCCATGCTGTCTTAGGGTCGGTCCTGGGTTCAATTTTTGCTAAACCAAGAATTTTTCCCCATGACTAAAAACAACTCAAAGCTTAACTCTGCCATGTAGGATAACAATAGCTTGACAGTAAGTTCCCCAGTAAGAATCCAAAATAATAATATGTATTTTATCATTTGATAGAAAATGGAAACAATGAAGCAGAGCTTATCACGGCATGTAGCAACACTACAAGATGATATTGATGCTCAGCAGAAATTCCACACCAAGGCAGAGATGTTGCTGGAGAGGTTGGCAGATCAAGAGCAAGTAATATCAAGACAAGATCCTAATAGATCATCCGATGAAAACTCGATTCGTGACAGGATGGATAACCTGAAGGTAATCCTTAATCCCTGTCCATGCTATAGTATCAATAGAATTAACCTAAATATGGTCAAGATGACATCACATTATGACCATATATTGGCAAATTATGACTATATATGGGTTTTTTTGTCAAAGAAAATTTGATAATGGAGCTTTATTCTTTGTTTTTTAAAATTATTTATACCGACTATTTGTCAAACATGAAAAAACAAAACATGGTAATCAAGCAATTGCTCAACTCAGTAGAAAAAACATTAAAAATAATAAATAATTAAAAAAAAAGTATATATAATATAATAATGTTTATAAATTTATAGAAGTTAGATGTATACACATTCTGTCACTTGTTTTGAAGTATCAGAATGTCAAGGAGCATGTATAAATAACTGTACATGTGCTGCAAGATCACAGCTAATCACAGATTGAGAGATTAGAATGTTTAAATCTATGCCTTATTTTTTTAAAGAGTGTTATGCACGACTTCACAAGCCACCAGGCACAGTTGGATGCATTGAACGATCAGGGCTACAAGCTAAGTTTAAACCAATCAAATGCATCCAGTCTGGTCCACATTAACAACCAGTGGAACAAGTTGTCAGTGAAGGCTTCAGAGAAGTACCGCAACATGCAAGCAGTCTTGCTGCAGCAACAAAGCTTTGCGCAAAAGTGCGACACTTGGATGATCTTCCTGTCACAGACCGAGAAAAATCTTGCAGTTGATATTGCAGGCAACTATGAAGACTTACTCAAACAACAAAAAGTCTATGCTGTAAGTTATCTCATTATTCACAATTTATTCTCCAATTCAAATAATTTTAATTAATATTTTAATTACACCTATGTATCAAATAATTTTATTATTAGAAATTATATTTCATTGTAATTTTCCATGCTACTATTTTTATTTGGTTATTTAACAGTATTTTTGTGTAACAATTTTTAAAGAAAAAAAGACAATGAAAAAGTTCTTATAATGAAAATTTATTTATTAAAATTGTTTTATACTTTTCTATCTATATAGCATTTTGAAGCAGACATTTTCAACAGGCAGCAGATCTTGTTCTCAATCGTTAATGATGGTTTAAGGATGATACAAGATGGAGAGATTGATGATCCTAATGAGTTCCAACATAAACTGACACTTTTAAGTGAACAATGGCAGAATGTTGTCAAACGAGCAAGCCAACGGAAAGACATCATTGACAGAAACATCAATGACTGGCATAGGTATCAAGAACTGCTTGAGAAGATGAACGAATGGTTTATGGAAATTGAAGTAGAGATCAACCAATTAGAATTTGAGACAGCATCAATTGAAACTCTTCAGAGCTTTCTTGAAGCTGCTAAGGTTTGAAATACATTTTTCCAAGGCATCTAATGTTATACCAGTCTTAAAGAAATTCCTAAATCTGATTGGATACAAATGTATGGATTGGATTACTACAATTAAAACCAATCAGAATTGGGAACTTGTTTAAGACTGGTGTAACAATAATCTCTAACTTTTTAAGAGCTATCAGTAAGTTATAGAAACATCAGTTATATTGCAAATTATCTTTTGAAAATATTTTTTTTAATCTTGAATACTTACCTGGATAAACTGACTAATTGCCATTGTTCCCAAAACGGAACACCCCTTCGAAAAAAAAATATGGACGACTCGTCCGAGCTTCATGATTTGGAGGCTGAGGAGTTAATTCTCTTTTCCGATCTTTCCAAGCTCGTTGCCCGGGCGATGCCGGCCATTCTTCAACATTTAGGCATCTCTTTTGAGACTCCCAGGGTGGTTTGGGGGCGAAATAATCTTTTGGCGATATTTTTTTAATCTTGTTTATTTCATTTGTAGATTACCCAGAAAGCTGTGTCTCTCAACGAAAGTAAATACCTAGCACTGAATGATGCAGGCAAGCTTTTGTTGCGTAACACTGATCGTGGTGCATCATCAATGATCCGTCAACGTTTAGCAGACTCTCAGGCCCATTGGCACAAAGTTACCACAACATTGAAGAGAAACCTCCAGCGCCTTGAGGAACTGATCACTGCCTGGGAGACATCAAATCAGAGTATTGAAGACATTAACAAGTGGCTCAAGACCATTAGGGTAATGTCAGCTCAACCATTGCCTGTTATGTTTGATGACATGCAAAAAATACTCCAGAAGTGCAAGGTACACCCTTTTATGGCTTTTTCATGAATACTTACCTAGTGGTTGACGGCTAATGCCAAGTTTCCTTTAACGGAATTTACCTTTGAAAAATAAATGGAATCATCTATCCTAGTGCAGTCTATGTAATTGATATACATTACATAACCATTACTCTTTGACTTTATATTTGAGTCAACTCAGATAGAAATTGGTGATGCACTTGGAATCATTCTTACTTTTATGATTACAACCAATCACTTTTCCAGGATGAAGAATAAATAATTTGTTTTAAATAAAAATAAAAATTTGTTTATTGCCATCATCAAATTTGTAAATATAAAAAGAGATTATATAAGCAATAATTAGACAAATAATTATTAAAACTATCGATATAAGCTGTTTGTGATGATAATTTTGCTGATTAAGTGTAAATGTGAACATAAATCGTCTATTATTTTTTTCACTATTTTGCTTATTTACAATTGTTGATCAGAAAATGCAAAATAATTTTATTTCATATGGATATCATTTCAATTATATATATCTTTACATTTGCAGTATTTTTAGCAGTTAATGTTTTGATCTTTGATGCTTTTAACTTATAATTATTGAAGATAGTGAGCCCTCTGTTGGTGATTTTTCTTCCAGGTCACTTGTTACTGATATGTTAGGTGTGCATAATTTATTTTGATTACTTCCTATTGTAGGAAGGCCATGGAACTAGACTATTGGGACTTGAGCTAGAAGTGCATGTTCTAATTATATTATTCCTTCTGTATATGTTTACCAAAATGAAACACTGTTGAAAATTTTTGCGATTATCATGGCGCTTTTTTACTTTCAGGAATACGAGGATTGTTTCAAAAATTCTCGTCACAAGCTCGATCGGTTAAATAACCAGGAGAGAAATTTGGCAAATATCCTTAGTCCGGATGACATCTCGGTTTTACACGAGAGATTGCTGTTGCTAAGCAAACAATGGGATGAGATTCATCATCAGACATGTCAGAAGAAACAGAGGATTATTGAAAGACTCAACCAATGGACCAACTTTGGATTGCGATATAAGGAGATCTGTGATTGGCTGTCTCAAATGGAAGCAAAAGTCTCGCAGAATGGAGAGCACAGCATTGAAGATCTTTTGTACAACTTGCAAGAGGTAATTCAATTGATTTTGTTATTTTCATTACAACTAATCATTTGTGTAATCATCAATATGAGCATTATAGCCATGTGATAAAGGTAATAAAGAACAGACAGTATTGACGTACTGATGTAGAGTATTCTCTTTCTTATTCATATAAATTTTTTATTTTATTTATTTTTTTTAACAGGAATTTTTTAATTAGAGCTTCATAAGTCTCATAAACTTGCACATATTTTAAAGGAGCATTACTAAGATAATTATAAAAGTTATATAAATTTCATTTCATTTCATTCATTTATTTCATTGGCACAAACGGCCCAAAGGTTGCGTCAGCAACAGTGCGCCATAACACCTCAAGTGGTGCCCACAACCTTTGGAACAAAGAACAGTACAGTAAAATTACAAAACAATTATTTACAACATAACCGTAAAATTGTAGGGAAATTTAAAATCAGTAAAAAGCAATAATAATAAGGAATGGCCAATACCAAACAATTAAAAATTATCGTTCATTCAGTAAGTATTACTGTACCTAAGTTTACAAATAAAAGAATTGTACGAACAAATAACAGCATAATCTTTAATATCAGAGGGCAATGAAGCAAACTGAATTGGAAAATTATTAACAGATGAAAATTTAAAAGCGTTTGTATAATATACTGGATGAGTAAAAGTATATAAACGTCGAGGGTTTACATAAATATGATTACTAACGCTACTGCAATGAGTTATCTTATGGAAACAACGAAAAATAAATGAGATCAGAATAATATATCGTCTGTCCTGAAGAGAAAGCCAGTTGAGAGTGATAAGTCGTTGGTTATAATTAATGGGACCACAGTGAAGCCAAAGAATTCTCCTAGAGACTCTCTGTTGTACTTTTTCAAGACAATTTACGTGATCTTGACAATGAGGACTCCATACAGGTAGTCCATACTCCAAGATCGGTAAAAAAAGGGATTTGTAAAGATGAGACATGGCATTAGGTGAACAATTTGCAGTAACTGAAAAAATTAAACCAACCATTCGGTTAGCACGTTTGATAACATTATCAATGTGGCTCTTCCAATTAAGATTACTGTCGATATGTACACCTAAATGTTTGTGGGTATCGACAACATTGATATTCTCACCATTCAGTAAAAATACTGGCCTTACAAAGTCACGTTTTCTAGTTATGTACATTAGCTTAGATTTTTTAACATTGAAGTTCATTTTGTTATTTTGTGCCCACAAAACAAAAGTGTCAATATCATTCTGAAGAAGTGATATATCATTCTCAGATTGTCTATGCCTAAAGATAACTATGTCATCAGCAAACAGAGCGTGATCAGATAAAACATTTTGAGAAACATCATTAATGAATAAATTAAAAAGAATAGGCCCAAGGCAACTCCCCTGAGGAATACCAGAAGTGACAGGTATGGGAGAAGATGTGAGACCCTTGAAACATACTCTTTGTTTTCTGTCTGTGAGATATGATGACATCCATTTCCATAGTCTTCCTTGAATGTTAAAATTATTAGCAAGTTTATATAATAAAATATCAAAAGGCATTTTATCAAATGCTTTACTCATGTCTAAAAATATAGTATCGACAATAGCTGCTGAGCCACGTTTGTCAAGCAGTCTAGCCCATTTAAAATAAAAATAAAATTAATAATTATAAAAAAAAATAACAAACATAATCTGTATGGTATTTATATTCAATGAGCCTACATCAGATACAGAAAAAACAACTATACTGTAATACAGAAACTAGTTAGTTGAAACTGAAAGTAGTAATACAGCATAAGTTTAGAGTTTTTTAAAAATGCATACATGAGCTTGTTTGTGTACAAATACTAGTGAACAAGTCGCTGTATATGTGTAGTGCTATTTCAGACTTCCTTCCTCATAAACTAATCCGGCCAATCACGTACCTTGATTTAAATTCTGATTTCCTGTTAATTCTAAGGCTTTGTGCAGACGAAGGGAAGATAGGATTTTGTCAGTTTTTTAAACTTGATAGCAACTTTACTTGTGGTGATTGTACAGTCTTGTCTGTTTTTAATAATTATATATTGTAATTGGTGGTTCCAACATGGGAACTGTAAACGTGTTTTGTAAGTACGGTAAGCGTGTGATCCACATATTGTGTGATTGTGAAAGTTGCCAAGATAAGGAAAGGGAAGCCTTTTGGACTTCTTCAAAGGTACAAGTAAAATGGGTAAGTGTATAGCCAGTAATATCCCATTCATATTTTATTTTAGCTGTAATATAAATATAACTGCCCATGTTTCATCTAGCATCAATCAAATCAGTCAGTCAGTCTTTATAATGTAATACTGTTTAGTATAGACTGTCCTTGTGTCGTTTTCACCAACATGAATATGAAGGTTATTAATTATATTAAATACCAGTATCCTGTCAATTCTGTTTACCGAATCACTTGGAAATGTAGAACAAATAATATGTATCATGTATTTTAAAACCAGTCAAGAATTAGAATGTGAATGAGTCATCACAGCAAGATCAGCATCCACAACCATAAAAGAAACTATTAAACATTATTATTATTTACTTTCAGTTATAGTAAAGATAATATAATTTTCTGGTTTTTTTTTAATCATTTTATCAGCCCCAATTCACATAAATTGCTACATGTATTTTTATTTCTTTATTTATTTATGGGCAAGACACAAGTTGCACTTGAAGAAAAATACAGTACATGCTATTCAGAGAGATCTGCACTTCATTGGAATGTAATAACAGTGATGTTTAGATTTTATAGTTGGGGTCAAGGGTAGATTATCTCTCAAGGTCCTTGGTATTTATATAACTACTTGCGTCTAGTTGATAACGCTAATTTATTAAACTGCTTATTATTTAATATAGTATTAGAATTATCAAGTTAGGTAGTAAGTAATTGCTAAAAAAAGTTTACCTTTATTCTTTAAAATAAGCATTTACAAATACAAATACAAATACTCTTTAATAGCAATCTGCAAATTACAACAGATAAAATACAAATTGAAGTTTAACAATTATAGAAATATAAAAATATATAAATTATTATTATTATTAAAAATTCGTTACAAATAAGAAATCTACATATTGACCAGGGGCATGACTAGAGATGACAAACCCCTGGTGGCCCCTAGATAATCTACCCCTTGACCCCAACT